TAAAAAAATAAACTTAGAAATGCCCCCTTCCATCATGTCTACAGCTATGCTGAGTGTGGATGTACAATTCTGTACCCCAAAACAGCAGAATGTGATGCTTTACAGGTATGAAAATATATATTCCTTGTGCACAGAAGGCAAAGCAAAATATCTTGCAGCCAGCTGCCCAAATATTAGGTGCTCAAGGGCCTTAGGGCATTGATGCCTCATAAATTTAAGAGTATTTATTAGGTGAATACAGAACTGGAAGTTTTGTAGCACTGGAAAGTAAGTATGATAATGAGGTAAACACATGTTCCAAAGAAAATATGAACTAATCGTGCACTCTGTGCAGGAAACTGCAGCTTTAAACAATCATTTTGTGAATGCTGGAGCAAGGCCTGTGAACTGCTGCAGGATGGGCTGCTCATTAATGACATCTCTCTGTATCCTCTAGCTTTTTAGCACTGTAAACCCAGTTTGACAAGCAGGTAACCAAATAGGTGTTCTGCTCCTTTGAATGCTTCGAAGGACCTTATGAATGCTCCTTTCCATTCCAGAAAGTGGAGTGTTACATGTAGCTTCACTTTTCCTTAGGTAAGTAAGAGGAAGCATCCTTCATCCTAACCACTGATACAGCCACGATTCCCTCCTTGGGTTGGAGGAGACCTCAGGAGTGGTGAGGACTGTGCATCGTGAGCTCCATCTGGAGGTTGTTTGCTCTAATCTGTGATTTTGGAAGAAATGGAGAGAAAATACAGCAATGCTGGGTCAGTCACCAAGACCCAGGGTCATCTGGAAAAAAATGACCTTGCAAACCCGAAGAGCTGGCTGATGTGCAGGTGTCACGCAGAGAATGGTGGGCGGTGGGATGAGCTCCATTTGCCCATGGTAAGGAGGATCTTACAGCTATGCCTGAGATGCAGCTTTGCTGTTTCCTTATCCATTGGTCAATGCAGCAGACATGAGGCAGAAATTCCAGCACGCAGCCAAGATTTTCCTATTAGACTATTTATGGTGGAAGTGTTTATGGCCCTCCCAAGTCCCCAGGGTGTGTATTTGAAAGTCTGTCTTTACCTTCACCCTCGAATGTAAAGGAAGTGGTGGAAGAGACATCAACCCAATCTGTGGTTTCCACAAAGCACACACAGCAGTGGAAATGGTAATTCCAGAGGTTCAGGACTAGGTAGCATGCAGAAAGGTAGAGGTTTGTTAATTTGGATAAGGTATATTGCTGCATGAAGCTCACAAAACACTTGTAGAGCAAATTTCTGATGAGTTATACCAGGTATCCAGTCTCAGTGGTTTTGCTCAACTCTCCCAAAGATGTCTGCATGCACAGCTTCAACTGCAGTCTTCCAAGGTTCACTTAAATACCATGAATTCAGAAGAAAGTTTCATGCTTGTTCGAAGTCAAAGAGAGCTGAGACATGTGATCAGACTTTCTGCCCAACTACAGTAAAAGCCATTGGGAGTGGAATACACAGGGCCCTGCAGCCTATCTCCATTCTAATGTTACAGACAAAAATCAGTGCTGTATGGGTAAGCTAAAACCCACCTGTGACTGTTATTTTTGTTTTGCCAGAGGTCTCGCAGTGCTTGCAGCAGTGAAGGGTTGGACTGATGTGGAAATGTTGAGCAGAGCAAGAGAGCTCCATGAAAAAACACAGTGTTCTGTTGATAGGAAGGTTGTGCTGAGCGGAGTCTCTTTGTTCAAGGACCTGCTGCATGTTAATATTCTTGTTGTCCTCCTATCTGAATGTAAAAAAATGCTGGGGGATTCTTAAGCCAAGGAACAGTCCTAAGTATCCCAAGAGCCCTTTCCTCTTCTGATGCAGTGAATGTTGTAGTGTTAGAGAGGTCAGGAAAAGTATTTGGGGCGTGAAATGTTTGTGAGATTTGCCATACACCCTATAATCACACCCATAGCTGCAAATATTATTGCCAGCTCTTGCTTGCTGTGTGACCATGCACTCAACGCCGCCGTGAGAAGTAGGTGCCCCAGCTGCAGACTGCTGCACAGGGCTGGGGAACCTGGACTGTTTGGCTCTGATTTTATGTGGAAAAGTGCAAGATCTATGTGGAAAAGCATCTCAGACACAGAGGCTGGAGTGCAGTCTGTAAGGCCCGTAACGTAAGCCAGTAGTAGCTCTCCATGCCTGTCACCAAAGGCCCAGGTGCAGGACAGGGCACTCCTCTAGAGATGGGACACATGCAGGAAACTGGGCACAAAGGCCAAATTACATTTTATCCATGGAGTTGGTGCCAGATGCCCTGTGGGATGAAGAAGTGGAAAAGAAAACCAAAGAATGGGAGCTTAAGGGGACATGTGGATTTTAGTCAGCTGCTTAATGACACAATGTTTCAGGGCTACACTTCTCTAATGTCAGAGGCTACTACGGCTGCTCAGTTGTCAGCCAGCTTCTGAAAGAAAAAAACATTTAATTAATCACCCAGGGTGCTAAACTGATGTATAACCAGAACTTTCATTTTCATAGACTCTTGTATTTTTCACCCATGAAACAAAGCAGTCTTCCCCAAGTGCTGGGTATCAAGGGCTGCAAAAGGTATTTCTTTCATTTTTTTTAACACTGCTGAAAATCAAAGTTATATCTGCCCTCTTTCTCAAGAGGATTATGACAGGGTGCACAGCATGGTGCTTAAGGAAAAAAAAGCAATTCTTGACATGTACACAGACCATCAGGAGGTCTTTAACTTGCAATAAAAACTGAGTTACTATTGACAGCAAGATATAAAAAGGCCTGCAGATCATACAGAGAGGAGATTATGGTGATGGCCTGTCACACAGTTGATGAGAAAGAAAGTGGTGAAAAGGTGAAGGTTTATTTCTGTGTAATATGTTAACCTCAACTTCCATGTCCACAAACTGGTTTATAGCTACTATTGGAGGAAAAAGACATGTTTGATCAATGACATATATACATGGCCAAAACTGAAAATACTCAACCTATCACATGTTACACAGATGTTGGGTATCAAGTGGGAACCTGCTTCTGGGATGGCACGGTGATCATCGATGGGAGGACAACAACTTTCAAATATAATGGGTGTTTTTTCCATGGTTTTAGTGAATGCTACCACGAAAATGACTGGAACTATCCAGTGAGGACCACCTTTGGGTGTTCATGTTACACAGTGAAACAAAAGACGGACTGCCTAAAGAGAGCAGGTTTTGCCATCATGTCCATATGGGAGCACAGGGGAACTGCTGCAAAAAGAAACAGACGGGGAGCTCAAAGTCTTAGCCAGGACCAAACTGCCCAGTCTCTGATCCCCAGAGACGTGTTTTTTGGCAGCAGGTCAATACTATTTGTCTGTACTACAAAGCAGCCCCTGATGAAAAGATACACTGACCACCTACTTTAGGATAGTAAAAATAAAGCTGTACTTAACCTTATAAGCTCTTTTTATCAGTGCTTCTCATAAGTCTAACTGGCAAATTATTGTTTTCCCTGTCTGAAACCTGCCAGGCCTGCTGCTGCTGAATAGAAGTACCTTGCAGTTGTCTGGTGCACCCCAGAACTAGACAAGGCTCTGGGGAAGGGCTACAGCTGTGAAACCTATGAGGTCTGGCAATTTGAATAGAGAGGCAACAGCCTTTCCTTGCATTACATAAAGACACGCCTCTGCCAGAAGCAGGACACTTTGGACTGCCCAGCCTGGAGTGCAGATGCAGACAAAAACCTGCTAAATATGGTGAAGATTACAGGCAGAAAGAAGATGCTGTTTTGCAGCTTGAGCCTATTAAGTAAAACTCTACAAAATGCCAAGCTGCCAAACTGCTTAGCATTGTCTGTGGGGTAAAAGTGGAGTGGGCTCCATGGCTCCAACACTACCATTGTGAGAATATGGTTATGCCTTCACCCCAGCTTCTGACACACCCTCCTGTGATTTATCCATATGGATGCAGCCATTGTCCGGTGGAATCACACCAAAGGATGCGACCCAGGAGTGCAAGACTACCATTTCTACAGCTTTCCTTGCCCCAGTATGGTTGTGCCTAGAGCTATACAAACCCTCAGAAACCCTGCATGACCTTGCCTTTACCACAACACAGGCTCTGGGACAACTGTGAGTCATCCAGGGGATCCCTCCTGTCAGGGACTATTTAGATGAGCTGATGAGTGATGACCATGTAACCAACTTGGGGGTTTCTGGTCCCAAGAGCTCCTTAAAAGTTCAAGGCTGGACTCCAAATGCAACAATCAGAAAAGATTCATCTTTCCATGAGAGTCCAGAGGGGCTGGGCAGGGACAAGCAGGTCTTGGCAGCCCCCTGGAGGACTCTGTAGCCCTGAGGCACATTCCAGTTTGCTCACATCCCCCTGCCCTCTTTAGCTCTCCCCCACCACTCCAGAGGACTTGGTCTGCAGCCTCTGAAAGTCAGGGGACATGTACTTGCCCTTTCCTTTCGTTTAATTACTTCCTTTCACACTGACTTGAGGAGGTAGCCCTTGCTGAAGTGCGAGGGGACTGCCTGCACTGATGGATCCTGGGGTACGGGGCAAATATTAAGTCCTTCCAATAAACATTTGCAGCACTGTCACCTCTATAATGATGCCTGTTTGCTCTTTGAACCTGACTTTATTTGAAGTTCTAACAACTTTTGATGGCAAAGAATTTTGCAGCCTAATCACATAAATATTCAAAACTATTTTAGTGATAAATTAAGAGCAGGCATGCCTTAAACTGCATTAAGATGGAACTTTGTTCATGTGACACAAGAACAAGCTTCATTATAAACTCTTCCTGGATATCCTTCCATCGTTTCATCTGTTAACCCCTGATTCAAGATAAGCAGTGCCAGCCTCTTCAGTTTTCCAGCATTTCTGCACCTTTGTAACATTGTACACTCAACATTTCCTGTCCACTCCATACTAAGTATTCTAGCAACTGTGTGAGGGAGAAGTGAAAACAATAGGAAAGGAAATTAAAAGAATCCTCAAGTTTTAGGTTGTGTTTACCATGACAGTATTTTCAAACAGCAACTGCAGAAGCAAATCAGTAGTGTTTCTTATTTTAATTGCATAAATCCAACATGAATAAATTTTATCAAGCCTGTAAGTACACTAAGGTGTATTCTTTTAATATTTTTTGTATACTTTTATTTACAAAAGAAAAAATGATCCTACAGTTTCAAACCAAATAAAAAATACAAGGCTAAAAGTGGAAAAAGAAGCAGAACAACGTGTGGGCTTTTTCTTTAAGGAAGTATCTGAAAGACAAACAAAGGACACACGGGGAGAGCTAAGAGCCAGAGCAGCTGCTGATGTCCTTGAATTTGAAACAGCATCTGAAAAACCAACTCTCTTATCCCGCACTTCACATGTAGTGAAAGAATCCAAAGTAGTCTTTCAAATCTCAGACGTCCTCTGACGCACTTGAAGCCTAATATCCGTATTTTTCATTGAGATGAGTCTTGCCATCACCGCTTTGACCTAATGGACAAAGAGGAAGAGGTGCATTATTCCTTTTCCCCTCTCACCTAAGAGAAATGTGTATCCAAGTACGAAATAGCCTCTAGGTAGCACCAGCCATGCAAGCACAAAGAGAATAAAAAGTCAGACTGCATGTTGCAATTCAATGCGCCTTTTGATTTATACTTGTAATTCATTTTAACCTTACTAATAGTGTTAAGATTACATCATGTATCCCTGTTTTTGTGGCTGGTTTGTTGGGGTTTTTTGGTGTCCTCAAAATGGCATTTTACAAGGTAAGTTCTACTACTAGCAGGCAGAGTGAGAAAATGGAGTTCCCTCTTACGGACACAGTTTGCTTGGCTATCCCAGACAGACCTCCGAGTTACTGAATCCAGTATTTTGTTCCAGTGGATTCATACGCCAGAGACATGCAGTCTTTTCATTGAAGGGTCATTCACCAGATTATAGCTTTCTTCAGTGAAATTTATTCTCATTTTTCTTATTCCCTCTGGAGCCTGCCTATATTATAAGCCTGCAACAGCCTTACAAAAATTATAGTAATGAATCTACCAAGTGAAGACTCAGCTTTGAACTTACTACAAAAATCTTGATGCATGACAATGAATTTTTTATTTTTGAGAGACTGAAAATTCATTACACTGTTTAAGAATAACCTCATTAAGCTAAAAACACCCTGGAGCCAAAGTAAAAAAAAATCATTTAACTTTACCCTATGTTGGATGCATACATCCATTATTCAGTGCCTTCACCAAAACATTACCAAGACTTCTCTCCAAAAACCTCTCCCAATGATTGCATTCCAACTATTTTTGCAATAACCTGCAAAGAAGACTTCTGGATTTCACTGACTTTTATGAAAACTGAGAATACTAACATTGCTGGAGCATTTATCCCTAGTGAAGGCTTGAGCATGTCTTTCAACTAGATTATCATACCACCATGTGTGAATGGAGTTAGCACTCTCAGGTGTTACAAAACTGAAAAACAAACTTTAGGTGTATGTGTCCATTGAGATGAAGCTACTACAGATATGGTCTGTATTTCACTGCAAGACCTGCATGGCCATAGAACAAACATGAAGCACAACATGCCAGAAAACATCAGGTTCTGAGTGAAGTATTCCTAAATGAACTTTTTCTCGAAGACTTACAAGGACACCCTGACTATGTATTAGGTAGATTCCTGAGTTATAAGACTAAAATTGGTAAGGAAATGGTTGATACCTGCAGGAGGAATCCATATGCAGTAGTCTGGGTCATCATCTGGGTACTGTGAGGAAAAAAAAGGTTGTTGAACCTGCAAAAGGGGAAAAGATTTTTAAGGTGATGCGCCCCTCCACCAATGTGTCACAGTCACTAAATCCTCACTAATTCAGAGACAAATACTGAAAGGTAAGGGTTATTTCCACAAGAGTTAGGGATAAAAATAACAGAGAAGAAAGATAAAACCCTCAAATAGATCCAGTTTATTCCCAGTAGAGTCACAGACTAATAGAAATACTGGTTAGAGGGGACCTCTGGAGGTCATCCAGCCCAATTTCCTCCTCAAAAGAAGAACCTGTTCACTTCTGGACAGTTTATCTTGTCATCTTCATGTTTGGCAGTGCTGTTTGACACAGGATTTCTTTATGCAGGGGAAAGCTTTAGAGCAGGATTTTCAAAATGTGCTTTCCTGATTTCAATGCACAATCCCACTGAAAACTTTGGGCTTACGGTGACTTTCAAACTGGAGTATGTAAAAGTTCATTTGTTACATAAGGACAACTTAAGTTTTCAGAAAGAATACTCATTTTTTTTCAGGTCTCATTGGTATCCTGAAATGTTTAAAGCAAACCAAAACAGGTCACTTATAATGCAATTGTTGACACAGCAATCTCTCTTTGTCCCTAGATTTTTAAGTTTTGCGACATCAGCGTCATTTTCTCAACAACTTCTGTTTTCAACAACTGAAAGTAGCTATATAAAAAAGTCATGCAAGTGTAGAATGCAAGACTTAAGAGCTCAAAATATATCCAAGTTACTCAGCAATGATTTGCATTACTTCTTATTATCATGACACAGTCTTAAGTCATGCAGTTGATGTTTTCATTCCCTCAAAAACTTTCCTTCCCCAAAGTAACCTCTAAAACAGTTATTTTGGAAGACTAATGTTTTCCAAAACATTAGTCTGCAGGGTTGAACAGTTTTTAAATATGGCTTGTGAACAATCACTTGAAAATTGTTTTTCCAGTTTTACATGATTCAAAGTTACTGAAATATTAAAAAAGAAAAAGCTGACTTCTGGTTGATATTTTCCATGCAAGATCTGAGCCCAAAGGCAACAACAGCATGTGGAAAAAGTGATTTGTGATGGGAGAAAGAATACATCTAAGCCATCTGGCACCTGGAGAATGCTCAGTGTTAGAGTGAACTCTCTGCTGATGAGAAATGCTGACTTGACTGTCTCAGCGTGAAAAACTGCCTCGTCCTCCCATATTCTTAAAAGTGGTATAACTTGGCCTTTAACAATATAAATACACTCCTGATTTCTTTAGCATCTTTAGCAAGGCCAGCAACAAAGGACAATTCTAAAGACTGTGCCTACCCAAGCCCTGGGTCCTCCACCAGGACTAACAAAGCAGCAGTTAGCACACACAGTCTGCTGGGAATTAAGTTTATTTCAGCAAGTGCTGCAGGGCTAAAATTAGACGGTCACCACAAAGAAACTGTCATAATGGTCAGAACTCATCGCCCACCACGTATAGTCATCTCCTCTGATTGCAGCCAGTAGAAGAACAGGGTTCACTCTAAAGGGAAGAACTTCACAATAAGAATTAGGCTGAGAGCACGCTGCCAGAGAACATCCTTCCCTGCTCTAGGAACACTTGCCTGAATTCCAGAATATGCAAAGCTCATATACTTTACATTTTAATACAGATTTTATGCATAGGAGAAACATTGTCTGGTATATCCACCCAAATTTAGTGATAACTTGGTTGCAACAAACAATAATCTCTTAGACTCGTCTCTTCCCACATCTTACAGAGAAGAATGAGGTTTGATACAGACTAGTTACAGCATGTTGAGTCAGCCAATACGTTTCCCAGACTACTCTCCAAGGGAAATTTTGTAATGACATTCCAAAGCACCTATGTTCCACAACACTCATGATACAGGAGAAGTAGCACTTAGTAACTGCCAAGTGAAAAGGTGAAAAAAATAAATTTGTGATTAAACAGGGAGCCTCTAGCATGCCTGAAATGCTGTGCTCTCTTTTCATTGGAGACTCCAAAGTCTGTGTCGAATGGCAGTGCATAGTTCTACACTTGCGTCTTATTCAGCAGAAAAGCACTACTATCACTGAGTTATACTCCATCAATTTGTTACTATTTTGGTTAAAAAAAAGTCTACTACATTATTTCCTGAAAGTCTTAACCTGCAGGAGTCATGGTGTGGTAACTGACCTTCCTTGAGCTATTGGTTTTCTTAACTTTCTCAGATGTCTCTTCAGTTTCCTTATTTGCTGCCTTGGATACTGGGAAGAAAGCAGATTTGTTTTATGGCACATCACAAATGATCAGTCCTACCAGAAATAAATTTACAGGAAGTTCACATAAAAATTAATACATCCATAAGGAAATCCAAGACAGCTCACTGCAACACAATTCATACTTGAGAATAATACTGCTGAACATCTTAGTGTTTTTCAAACATTTAAATTATGTTAAACACTCCGTCGGTCAGATACCTGAATGCAGTTTAATAAGGTCCTCTTTAATGTGATTCTTTAGTTAATGGCAGATGTTTATTTTCTGAAAGACACTTACTATCTGTAATCACTGCAGTGATAATTTAGAAAGGAAGAAGCAGAAAGTGTGCAGGACCAATATGCTTTTTTTTAAAAAAACCCCTCACCTAAACATTAGAGTAACACGGGTGATAAGAATTCCTTGGTTTTCTACCACTTAGTCTGTGAAATACTGAGACTTATGGTTTAAGTCTGTGGGTGAGATGATGAGGACAGGACAACATTCCTAGGAGTCTAGGGTTATGAAAAAATAGAAAAGTCATACAGATCTCCTCCATGTTCAGTACACCTAATAGTCTTCATTTTGAAGATCTAACTTTTTGGATGTACATGCAAAAGGGTCATCTAGGTCATTAACAGATTATAACCCAATGTTATGTAATATTTGACACTTTATAAAAGAAAGTTCTGTCCTTCTGTAGCATTAAGAGCTACTGCAAAGAATAAGGGAAGAAAAAGCATTATCTTATTCTTCTAAATTAAAACAGCTTTTATTCTCAGGTTATTTTTTTTAAACAAAGGATCTCAAAGCAGTTATTGACTTGAAAAGCAAGGAGCACTGAAATACAGTGGAAGTGACCTGTTTCCACCATACAGTTATCACTTCCCAAGCAAAACACAATCCTTTATTTCAAGTCTGGATTCTTAGGGCTCTGCATTAGGTTTAGTTTCCTTTGACCCACTTAAGACAGTAAGCCCTTCAGTCAGTTTCTAAACCCACATGCTCCTACACAAGAGTCTAAATTATACTGCTCACCTTGAGATTTCTCTTGTGAAGGTCCCATCTGAGATTCATTCCTCAGTACCTTTGGCTCAGGCCGAAAATCAACCCCTGTAAAAGAAAAAAGAAAGAGATAGGTGGGCACTCTGCAGTAACTCATGAGCAGAGCACTAACATCCCTGAGACATAAGTACAACGGGGAACTCTGAGCTACACTTGTCTTGGGAAAAACTCTTCTCTCAAAAGGCCTCCAAATTATTTCATCCACCAAGTCCATTGCAATACATTAAAGAAAAACCTGTGACCAGCTAAAACACTTCTCAAGAGCAACCTGTCCAGCATTAAGCCAAAAAGTTAGAATTTGCTTTCTGTTATCAAACATATTGTTTATTGAGAAACATCATTACTGAGCTGTCAAAAGCATCAAGCTGATATAGAAAAGGAGGAATATACAAAGACACAGGAATACATCTCTCCACTACCACTTTTAAAATTATTTTTCCTCCTTACAAATGGATCTGAAGCTTTGCACAGACCCTTTTTTTAATTGAGTCACTTCCATTGCCAACAACACATTGTAGTAGTTTCCATATGGACAATCAATCTAACGGAAACGGACCTTATCAAAATAGGACCTTTTCTGCATCCAGGAGATTTATTCTATTTCACCAAAATGCAAGAAAGCCAAGTTTCATGCCAACTGCCAAGCAGAGTTTCAACTGGAATCATGTGAAACTTAGCTGCTGCCACACAGACTCTGGACTCATAGCAAAAAAAACTTACGTAAAAGAAATGGGCTGGAGAACCGGTGACTCAAACATTAGGAGAAAAAATCAGCAGTAACAGACTCAACTTCATTACTGGAAAAAATCAAAAACAATGGTTTACCATCCTGAAGGGATTCTACATTCTTGTTATTGCAAGGAGAACTATCAGGAGCATTAGTTTCTTTTCCTGTTTCTTCCTCTGTTGTCGTTTTCATTTCCAGCTTTGATGCTCTGCTGTTTACTGCATCTCCTTCTTGCTGCTCTTCCATTTCTTCCTCTTCCTCCTCCTCCTCCTCTTCTGGTCCATCATCTTTCATTTTTAACAAGCTTTCAGGGATGTCTGGACGCTTAACAGGCAACTTCTGCAAGACAAAGAATAGAGATAGATGTCACTCATTATAGGAGAAAGCACACATACTATTGTCAGAGACAGCTGGTAAGGAAACACTCTCAGGATGAAAAATAGGTTTAAAAGGAAAGTTATTAGTAGAGATAGAATATGAAAAAATATGTCCAGCCCATAAACAAGGAGTACAGTCTTTTCATAAGAGGGACACTGGAAACTGAATCAGTCCTGGATATGATTTTGACTATAACATCAAGCAAAACAAAAGGAAGTAAAGGACCAGCTGCCGAGATATAGCAGTGGTTCAGCCTGATGTCCCCAGACTGCCTCTACTTGATCCACTGCCTTTTGCCCACAGCTGTGTGACTGCAGGGCAAGGGCAAAGAATGGCAACTGCTGGCAGCAAACAATATTTAACAGCCACTGTTTGCCACCCATGGACCTTTCATTGCTACAGGCTGCACCTCCAAGCTGTTTCCATGGATGTGAGAAGACGTGGTTGCCTCCTACAGTTGCCACAGCCTGAGAAGGTGTCTGAGAAACAGCCACTGACTTGCAGCACTTGAGTCCAACTTACCCCTAGGCTTCCAGTTTTCAGTTTGAATTTGCTCCCCCCTTTCATTGCACCGAAGAGAGGCAGGTTCATCTTTTTAGGCTTGTTCTCTGTGTTCAGATTGTAACTCCCACCCCTAATAAAAATTAGATAAAAAGAAAAACAGTGTACAAAGTATCAAACAAGTCTTCTATATACAAATGTAAAAAAAAAAATAATAAATCTGCAAATTAGAAGTGGATATATAAAAATCCTTTAATTTCTCTCCCACTTGCAGCATCCAAGGAGAAAGCTGCAGGAGATGACTCCTCCATCCCACATGCATGTTGTAAAATTCAGATACTTGTCCTAACAGGAAGCAAAAAATAAACAAACAAGGAAAAAAAAATCTGTATCACACAGACTCCCTCAAGTTCAATTGCATACATACTTACATATGTATATAATATATATGTATATATAAAAACATATTTGGAGGCCTCACCTCAATTTAAGTGAATTAATTAAATAATTAAATCTCTAATCAAGCTGCCACTAGTAAATAATGAACCCACCCTCTTGAATTGCAGTAGTGCTGCTGAGCAGTAGTTGAACAGCCACTACATTTGACTTCCAGACACATTTCAGAGAGTGAAAGTGGGTTTCATGTTGTACATAGTATCTCTAAAATTCTTCAGCTTCTTTTGGATGCAGGTTGGGAAAAAATTAAAGAAGCTGACACTATGCTTCCAATCCCTTTCCCACCTCATCCTGCCAGCTTGGGCTCATCTTATTCCAGTTTTGTGCATTTGTCTGAACCACAGATGCTGCAATAGCCTGAAGGCACAGCGACTCTTTAAAGAGATGAGCCAGGTAGTTTGGAAGGCTGTCCTGCTTTTGTGTTTGGAAAGCTGTCCATTTACTGGGCTTGCACAACTGCCCATGGATAACAACAAGAGGAAAAATACTTGGTTTATATTTTAGTTGACTTACTGGGGCTTCAGCTCAGGTAGTTCTGCAGGCTTGACAAGCTTTATTAACCCTTTCAGTCTCTGTTGCTCTTTCTTCAGTTCAAATGACCGCAAGTGAAGTTTTTTTCGTGCCACACTGTCTAAGGTGCATCCTGATTTTATTTCAGTCATGAATTCATCCAAGGAATCTTGAGCTGCTGGCTGGGACTGGACTACGCAAGATAAAGGGAAGATACATATTGTTATGGTGGGGAGATGAGAGCTGCACTCATGTGGTTCAGCCTTTAGAGAATAAGGCACGTACGAACAACAATCCTTTCTGCAAAGTTTCTGTTGAAACACTGGCGATTGTTAGCCCTGGAAACATGAAAGCATTTCTCCTAACAGAAGCCTGAAAGTAAACTTTAATCTACTTACATAACAAAACCTCTCCTAAAACTGAATGTTTCCCTGTGAGTAAGTGTCTCTGTTCTAGATTGTTCATCTCCCTCCAAGATCTGCTCTCCCTCAAAAAGCGGTTCTTTTTGTAGTCACAGACTAAAATAACCCCAGCTACAAGGAAACCTACACCACTGAATGGGGAATACCATTTTGGTTTTCCTGGAATATTAAAGTAGTAACATTTGGAAAACTCAAAATGAATCAACACATGATGCTGCCTCCTATCCCTGAAAGAGCGCATACAAAACCAAATTCATACATCCACCAAAATGTAGATGTAGATTTCATACATCACAAAATCTACCTTTGCTTTGATTGGATTTTCTAAAAAGAAAACACTGTTCTGTACTTGAAAAAGAGTAATGTCAGTCCTCCTACTCCACCTAATTTCAAATATTAACAATTCTATGCATATTTGACTAATTAAAACTCAGGAGATAAAACTAAATCTCTAAACGACTAAGAAAGATAAATACAGAATTCTAGCACATAGATTTCAAACAAAAGACTCATGAAAACTCCTTTCCTGGGCTTGAACACTGAGTTTTTATATGGTGTTCAAAAATAAGCTGGAGGTAAACAGAGAAAAATGTTTTTGCCAGAATCTTAACAAGTCTTTTGACAGATAGTTTTCTATCTTTTAATATTATATGAAAAATGGCAAATCCAGTATGCCTTTGCTGCCTTACAAGTGTTTTTCTATATATGCACAAGCATAATTATGTGATCAGTAAGTTATTTTCAGTTCAGCTTGAGCTAATTAAATAGCACTTGAAATTTTAAATGCATACAAATAAAATAGTCTAAGTTATTCTAAAGAGCACGTATTTGAGCAGTTTTACATGACTTAGATATTCAGAAGAAAGTCTAATACCACTCATGCTTACAAATGGACTCAATTGAAAAGGATACTTCTGATCTAAAACAAAACAGAGTTTACCATTTGAAAATATATGAAAGCCATAACAGTAACTGTTCAAAGTTATACAGAATTAAGAGGCTCTAAAAGATAAGAAAGAGTTGTAGCATTCACCTCCACACAAGCATAAATGATGACAAAATGTCATAAAAGACATTCTGATAGAAATACTGAAAAAGAATGACTTCTTTTTCCTCGTAACTATTTCTTTGAACCAAGACAAAATGCAACAATGGAAAAGTATTGCTAACAATCAATCTGAAACTTCTAGCAGGCAGGAGCTGAGCAGAATGACTGATTTAAACAGCAAATTTAAACATCAAATTACAAAAATACGATTTAGTGACCAGTCACGTAATTCAGAACAATTAAAGCTCCACAATTAAAGCCACAGCTCGCTGCTTTAGCTGCAGAACAGTGTAAGTGCTTCAGTCAGTGAGTGACCCTCAGGGGGCCAGATCACCCCCTCTTGCAAATCGGATTCTCTGCTTGATTCCACCAACAGTACAGGCTCACAGTTAGTATCTGCTATCTGTTGCAGCAGTTTTCTACACTACTGAAGTAAAATTTAACATTACTAGGAGGTGAATCAATCATGTCTATTATACTATATATCCCAGTGAAAAAAAGCTATAGGGCTATTTACTGCACCATCAACTTATCGATTATTTTCTTCTGACCAGGCAACCAAAGATAAGACTGAAGAGCTCTATGTACTTGATCTGCATTAGGGTGCATCAGTGAATGAGAGATACCAAGTCAGTCCGCCAGTAATTAGTTCCAAAGTACCCCAGGAAACAATTTTTGAACTTATACTGAGATTATTTTTAGACAACTACTTTATTTCTCCAAGTGCTTGGTAAAAGGTGTTGCAATTTAGCAGATGAAATTCCAATCCAATACTGAATTATATTGTACTGCAATACAAAGACTTCGATTTTTTTCAAGGCTCTAAACTAGCTGTGCAACCACCTGCAACTTACAAAAACATGATAACATAAATCACCATTATATGGTGTTAGTAGAAGCATAGAAATGAACTGACTCTTCCTTCTCCCAGCCTCTACTACGATATGATTTAACAGTTGAGAGAACTGTTTCTCAGCAGTTGTTGAAAAACAGTATCAGCAGAAACAAAGGCATCAGAACATATGAAAGCTTGGAATTACACGTCTCAGACAATATAAGCATCAGCACCTCTTGCCAGTCAATCCTAACTACTTATCAAAACAGTCATGCTGAAAACAATTCCTTCAAATACACTCAACATGAGTTAGAATTCTTGGTGGAATGGTACTGCTTTCTGAACAGGGATCTGGTATAATCAATCACCAACAAAAATGCTGATACAAATGAGTTTTGGTGTGGAGTTGAATTATCAAAAAGAAACATGGCCATGTAATGCACAAAACACAGCCCAGCTGTCACACTGCTGTTAGGCTCCTTGGAGAGAAACTCTTCTGACTAATACTGCAACCTTCATTAATGCCAACTCTGTTAAAAAGGTTTTTTATGAAGAACCAGCCTAAACACATTTCCTTTCTGCCTTCCTTTTACTCCACAAGACATCATCAGTAACAGAAAGCAAAATGCAGTTATTTGTGTAGTATGCTTTTAATGTAACTCACTAACAGACACAATCACTAGCCCAAAAAGGCTCTGCCTTCATACACAAAGGTATAATCCTAGAACCTGAATTAGATGGCAAATTCACTGAACATATGGGTTAAGTGTCAACTGCTTTGACTCTACATTTCTCTTTTCCCACCTTTCCTTTTTAAGGTGCATCTACAATGAGAGAAGTGAAATAAAAGATACTACCCTTTCTGTCAGTTTTTTCTTCTTCCCTTATAAATGCTTTTGAAGGGAGTGGAAAAGACACTGTTCCTCACTTTGGAAATTGGGTCAGTTCCACTAATACTGGCAGATAAACAGTGACAATACTCACCCTCTTAAAATCCAGGAGCTTGTACACTTGCCACCCTACTTTAACCTAGATGCTGCTTACTTTGGAAAAAGCTGCTTTCATTAGCAAGTGACCATACACACAGAATACATAAACCATTGGATGAAGAGCATAAGTATTCTCTCCAGCCAACTCAGTGACCTGCAAAACTTCCAATCCCTTTGTAAGAAGTGGACACTAAAAAAAGAAAGCACTGAAGCGAGAAATCTGTAAGATAATTTTAATCTCTTTTCTTTATGGAGAACACTACAATCAAATAAACTTCATACCTTACCTTTCCCTGAAGCCTTCAACTTCTCTGTTATCTCAGAAAGCTCATTTTCAGCTTCCTTTAGCTTTGTGACCTATGAGAGAACAACACACTTAGAAGACTTTTCTATCGTCTTAAAATACCCTTTTAAGAGTTACTCAAATATCCTACCAAATTACTTTGATTTTTCTGCTTCTGATCTTTTACCAGGACTTCCTGGGCTGAAAAATCTACACTCTAGATTGCTCTTAAAAATGTATCCTTCCTTTGACATATTGTTTAAACAATTTTCTTTCTGAAACACGAAAGTATCTAAAATTCTGCAGCAGCGTTATACCACCACTGTGACACTCCAACCCACCCGACCCCTCACACCCTATTGTCTGTGTAGGACTTGTAGTTGTTATATGCCTGTCAATCCAGGATGCTTGTTCTTCAAAGCAGAATAAGGTTCTTCTCTGGGATGTGTCCTGCAAAACTTGAAAGCTTGCAGTTATTTTCTGATGATTTAGAACTATTTCAAAAGTATCCTGTTCTGGCATTTTGTTCACCCACTGCCATGATCCACTAAGGTTCCTTCTTAGTCATAATACAGGTATGGAAGAGTAACCCTGACACATCATAACAATTCTTCTTACCAAGGAGTCATAAGTCTCTGGTTTTTCTTCTATTTTACCAGCTTTTCTCATTCTGTTCAGTCGTTTCTTTTCCACAGCACCAGTTCGATCGAGGAAGGTGTCATCATCACTGTCATAAAAATCCTCATCTTCCCAGTTCTTTGATTTCCTTTTTCGGGATACTGGGAAAGGTAAGGGAGAAGGCAAGAAACAAAACGATATGCCTACTAGTCAGCAATAAACCAAATTCAAGACACCAATCTCAAATCCTTAATTTAGGGCTTTTAGAACGATCACAGCCTTTGACTAGTTATTTACCTGCTTCTTGCCTCAGTACTCCCCGAGCATCAAGTAGCCTGCAAGCTTCCAGTGCACACTGTATCATTGCCTCCTTCTTTTTTCCTGAGTGGAGAACCTCTGCCACCAGCTGCTTCCCTGCTGCATCATCCACAGGCAACCTATTCAGTTTGAAGGATCAGAGCACAGATCAGATACAAGCAGCTTTTCAGGGATGCTACTCAGATATTTTACTTATCATGCTGGCATTGTTCTTCCCATTTCATTCTAATCTTTTTCTGTATATTAAATATTTTCACTTTTCTTTTCATACAGAACCAATCAAAACATAAGCATGGGTTTCTTAAAGCATGCAATTAAATTTGTATTTCACTAGTGCAAACAATAATTCTTCCTATATTTATTCCGTTGGAAATACAAGAAGTTAAAAGGCTAAGTGTCAATCCCTGGATCATTTTAAACACCAATATCTTGCATCCATGCAACACCAGTAACAAATATTTTCCATGCTGAAGCAAAGGATTTTTAAGCAGTACACTCATTGCAATGTTGCACCTATCCACTTGAGACTTATCTTGTTGACTTAATTTCTACCTCACCTTCTCCTGTCTTATAAAAGAATGACATTAGTGGCCTCTAGAAGGAACCCATCAAGAACTGCCTTATACCATAAAAGAACTGAAATTGGGCACACAGTAGAATTAATGTTGGGTTTTTTTTCCCCTCTGTCCCATTAGGAATTGAAAGAGATTGTTTCTCTTGTATTTCCATTTCACATATTTCTCAAAACAAGGGGAGCTGAAAGAACCTAGACTCTTGCTTTCCCGATTTTCATCTCTAAGGAAAACTAAATGCTGTCAGAATAGAAAGGAAAGGAAACACTGAACTAGGCACTGATCCTTGAACTTCTCCCTCAGTATCAGGGGTCAGGTCTAATTCTAGCTTGCATGTGACATGAGACTGACATGAGAAGTAATTCCTTCAGCTTTTGTTCATGAATTCAACAATTTCCATATACAAAAGTGAATGCAGACATACATACTTGATCCTGCACAGCCAGCTATTGTGCCCACGATCATCATATTCATATTCTAACTCTTCTCCTAGAAAGGAAAAGAAAGTTGATACAGCAACCAAAATTGAAATAAGCAAGAATAAACTACAGCAGAGAAGAATGTCATGTTTAAACAAAAGGGATAAAATGGCCTTGTTACATATCAAAGGACTGATTTTGCCTTACTTTTTTATTTTTTAAAGCCATGAGATCATCAGTTGGCATTATGCTAATTTTTTTTTTTGCCCAAAATCAAGGCTTTTTCATATCTAAAAAATCTCTAGTGGTTTGTTTAGGAACATGTAGTTCAAATTAAAAACAATCTCGTCTCTGTATCTATTAAAGTAAATACACTGAAGTAATGACAGTTTACAATCTGAATTCACAGATATCAGATTGATTTTTCATTTTAGTAAAAAAGTGAGTAATCTTTACATTTCACTAGCAACCATGGAAACTTTAGACTACTTAATTATTGCCTCTTGTCTTTTTTATACTTTCCAACTCTATCTCACAATTTTAGCTATCTCCAAATCGAACAATTTCAAATTTGATGGGTTTCAATTTTTCAGCACAGCTTCAAAGCATGAGTAGGGTTTGAGTGTCACTCCAGAGGAATACAAGGTGCTCAGTGCAACTCCCTGCTTAGGAGTTAATACCTAAGTCTCAGATATACAATGGTGAGCCAAGTCTTAATTAAAAAACTCCAAACCAAATCACTACAAACCTCCACCAAAACTTGACCAAAAAAAACCCCATCACCCAAAATTGTCCCGTTAGCAGAAAAGTTGAGCTCCCAGACCACACCTTAAATCCCACCCCCTCAAAATAAGCACAAATGTAAAATTTTATTAAATTTAAAAAAATCCCATTTAATAAAATAAAGGTACCTTCTCTATCAAAAAAGCCCTGTAAGGCCTTCCTAGGATCTTTCATATAGAAAGCATCTTGAACATCCTGAAAATCAACAGCAATAGGGTTTTCTTCAACCTCATCCTCCTCAGCATCCTCACCTAGAAGACATATGAAGTGCAAAAAACAAACAAACAAAAAAACATTAGAAAGAGAGCACTAGTATATTTCAACTTTCATTAGTTTGAAAAAAGTAGCAGCTACATCATCCTAAAAGTACTTCCCTTAACTTTAATATTATTTCTGTACCCAATCTAAAAAAACCCCTCCCACTTCTTTTTTTGCTATTAGTTATTACAACATGAGATATAGTTTTCCAGATGAGTGTCCCTGCAGTTTCGGTACTTGCAAAGGTTTATGTGCTTATATGTTTCCATTCAAAAAAACCCAACTCACTTTGTTCCAAAAAGTTGATTAATCTAGCAATCTATCTAGCTTTAAGATGTGGACTTTCTGTTTAAATATAAAGACAGCTATACCACACAGAAGTCTCAAGCAACTAAATTTCACCTCTCAGGCAAAAGTGTGGACATCATCACAGGAACATTAACTAAACTTTCAGTTTCATGGCCCTTTACAGGCATAGGTGAATTACCTTCCCCTGTTTAAAAGGAGGTCTTGCATACTGCTCACTAGATATAAGCTTGTCTTGTCACATACCCTTCTTTCTAAAAGGAAAAGGATTAATTTGTACTCAAGAGCTTTGACTGGATTGTAACTCTTGGCAGCCAGCTGGAAATTCACGGAAAACTGGCTTAAAGACCTTCTAATGCATATCAGTCAATTTATACATCATCACTTACCCATTCCCCACGAGCAGCTCATATCACTGTTCTGACTCCTTTCACTTTTCTCCTCTTTTCCATCTTCCTCATCAGAGTCCTCTCCCAACATTGTCTTTTCTAGTTTTGCTTGCTGCTGCTTACGCAATGCCTTCAATTCAGTCACAGTTAGTTCTGACTCAGACTCCTGGTCCTCTTTGGGTCCCTATATCACAAATAGTAATTTAGCAAAAGTGTTTTTTAAAAGAAAAAAACTCAAGTATTTTCAATACACACGCAGATTACAAATTATTACAGTATTCTTCAGAAAGTGGAATTATTAGACCATGTGATGACGTGCGTTCCAAAATATATTAGTTTTGATTATGTTTTCAAAGGGGGAAACAAGCATTATTGTGTACTTGTTGGAAATCAAATTACGTTGTCAATGCCAACCAAATGTTGTCAGATGTCAAATATGACTCTTTTAAAGGCTGAAGGGAAAAATTCCTGTCAGTGCTACATGGCTGAATTTAACGAATGAACAGCTTCTGAAGTGCATGTAAAGCAAGTGAAATGCTGTCAAAGTTCCTACTAATAACAGCTCCCCTTGTTCACAAAGACGTGTTAGCTCTTTACTGGGGCATCATACTGTCGGAAAGACACTCCTAATACTTCTCGTTGTTGGACAGAAATGCCTTTTGCGCTCACTGCACATCAGCAGAAGCCGCCCAGCCTGGTCTCACGGCGAGCCCTCAGGGGCGCTGCCCCGTGCCCGGTGGCCCAAGGTGGCAGCGGATACCCACAGCCGGCTACTCTTCTCCCAGTAAAACCATCAGGGTAGCACTGGGCTGTTCCCCAACCTCCTCACACCTCAGGAGCGGCTTTTACCCCGATAGGCCCGGGGAGTCGCGTAAATTCCTGAGACTGATCCAGCCGAGGCTTCACCACCCCCGACACACCGCCCCGGGACCGCCCCAGCCGGAGCCCCGACGCACCTGTAGGAGGAAGAGGCGGGAGCTGCCGCCGAAGCGCAGCCCGTGGCCCACCCGCACCCGGCAGTAGGTGCGGGGCGGTACCCGCGCCTTGTTGAGGAAGGTGCCGTGGGTGCTGCCCAGGTCGTACACGTAGAACCCGGCGGCGTCGGGGTCGGCGCCGGTGCCGCGGTACTGCAGCACGGCGTGGTGCCGCGACACCGAGGGGTGCTCCAGGGAGAGCGCGCAGCCGGGCAGCCGCCCCACCAGGAACCAGCTGCCGTCCTCCAGCCTCACCGAGCCCAGCGCCACGCCGCCCTTCAGCACCTCTAACCCGTACCCGGAGCCGGCCGGCGGGCGGCTGCCCCACGCCGGCTCCTCGTAGCGCGGCGCGGGCGGCGCGGCGGCGGGGCGGGG